GCCTGTAATCCCAGCACTTTGGGAGGCTGAGGCAGGTGGATCACGAGGTCAGGGGTTTGAGATCAGCCTGACAAACATGGTGAAACCCTGTCTCTACTTAAAAATACAAAAATTAGCCGGGCGTAGAGGTGTGCACCTGTAATCCCAGCTACTTGGGAGGCTGAGGCAGGAGAATTGCTTGAACCCAGGAGGCGGAGGTTGCGGTGAGCGGAGAGCATGCCACTGCACTCCAGCCTGGGCGACAGAGTGAGACTCCATCTCAAAAAAAAAAAAAAAAAATACACTTCATGCAGGGTGAGATGGCTCATGACTATAATCCCAGCACTTTGGAAGGCCAAGGCAGGAGGATTGCTTGGACCCAGGAGTTCAAGAACAGCCTGGGCAATGTGGTAAAACCCCATCTCTACAAAACATTTAAAAATTAGCCAGGTGTTGTGGTGCATGCCTGTGGTCCCCAGGTGGCATGCACCTGAGGAAGCTCAGGCTGGAGGATTGCTTGAGCCCAGGAGGTTGATACTGCAGTGAGCTGTGATCATGCCACTGTACTCCAGCCAGGGTGACAGAATGAGACTCAAAAAAAAAAAAAAAGATGAGAAAAAGAAATGCACTTCATAAGGCTATAGCTACCAGAGATAGCAATTCCTCTGATGGATCTTGTAAAGTAGATTGAAAATCTTTCAGAAAGAATTCAGTCTGGATGTCATTAAGAACCTTTGTGATTCATGGGAGAAGGTCAAAATATTAACATGAACAGAAGTTTGGAAGAAGTTGAGTCTAACTCCCATGGATGACTTTGAGGGATTCAAGTGGAGAAAGGAACTACAGATGTGGGAATGGCAAGAGAACTAGAATTAGAAGTGGAATCTGAAGATGTGACTGAATTGCTGCAGTCTCATGATCCAACTTTGACAGATGAGGATTTGCTTCTTATGGATGAGCAAAGAAAGTGGTTTGTTGAAATGGAATCTACTCCTGATGTAGATGATTGTGAACATTGTTGAAAAGACAACAAAGGGCTGGGCACAATGGCTCATCTATAATCCCAGCACTTTGCGAGGCCAAGGTAGGTGGATCACTTGAGCCCAGGAGCTCAAAACAGGCCTGGGCAACATAATAAAATGTCATCTCTACTAAAAACTTTTTGAAAAAATAAAATTGGCTGATGCCCTTTTCAGCCTCAGCCCACCTGCACCCAGGTGAAAAAAAAATTGCTTTAAAAAACGAAATGACCACAAAGGATTTAGAATATTACATAAACTTAGGTGATAAAGCAGTGACAGGTTGGAAGGGATTGACCAATTTTGAAAGAAGTTCTGTTGCCATAAAATGCTATCAAATGGCATCATCTGCTACAGGGAAACCTTTGTGAAAAGAAGAGTCAATTGACATGGCAAACTTCACTTTTGTCTTATTTTAAGAAACTGCCACAACCACCCCAACCTTCAGCAACCATCACCCTGATCCGTCAGCAGCCATCAACATCAAGGCCAGGCCCTCCACCAGCAAAATGGTTACAACTCACTGAAGGCTCAGGTAATGGTTAGCATTTTTAAGTAATAAGGTATTTTTTAATTAAGGTATGCACATTTTTGGCCAGGCACGGTGGCTCTTTCCTGTAATACCAGCACTTTGGGAGGCCAAGGTGGGCAGATCACCTGAGGTCGGGAGTTCAAGACCAGCCTGACCAACATGGAGAAATCCCATCTCTAAATAAATAAATAAAAATTTCAAAAATCCACATTTTTAGACATAATGCTCTTACTGTAAATTAATAGACTACAATATAGTGTAATCATAACTTTTATATGCACTGGGAAACAAAACAATTTGTGTGACCTGCTTTATTGGAATATTTGTGTTATTATGGTGACGTGGAACCATACCTGCAGTATCTCCAAGGTATGCTTATATACACAAAAAAAGTAAAAGCAGGCATTCAGACAGATATTTGTAGACCAATATTTACAGCAGCATTATTCACAAATCCAGAAGGTGGGGGCAACCAAAATGTCCATCAACAGTCAAGCAGATCAGCAAGATGTGGTGCAGGCATAAATGGAATACTATACAGCCTTAGAAAGAAATGAAATTCTAACATGTGCTACAACGTGGGTGAACCTTGACGTGCCAAGTGAAATCAGCCAGACACAAAAAAGACAAACATTGGATGATGCCACTTACATGAGGTACTTAGTCAAATTCATAGGGACAGAGAGCAGAATGGTGATTGGCAGGGGTGGAGGGAGGGGAGAATGAAGTTACTGTTTCCTGATAGAATTTTAGCTGGAGAAGATAAAACAGTTCTGGAGATGGATGGTGGTGTAGCTAAATGGTGTGAATATACTTAATGCCACAGAACTATATAACTTAAAACTGTAAATGTTATGTTATGCACATTTTATCACAATTTTAAAAACACAATCTAGTTAGAATATGGTCAAAAGGCATATTGAGGGCAAAGGTGAAAGGATCATTTGAGGCCAGGAGTTTGAGACCAGCCCAGGCAACATGACAAGACCCCTGTCTCTACAAAAATAAAAACAAAATTAGCCCGGTGTGGTGGCACATACCTGTGGTCTCAGTTATTTGGGAAGCTGAGGTGGGAGGAGCGCTTAAGTCCAGGCTGCAAGGCTACAATGATCTGGGATTATGCCACTGCACTCCAGCCTGGGTAACATAGTAAAACCCTGTCTCAAATAATGATAATAATATTACCGGAGGAGAGCTCGCCCAGCTCTGAGGCGCAGGAATTCAATAAAGAAGATGGCAGCTCTCACTCCAAGGAAGAGGAAGCAGGATTTTTTGAACTGTGACAGCCTTTTGCTCTTCACTGAAAATCTGTTTCCATCACCTAATAAAAAGCAGTGTTTTTATCAAAACAGTGATAAAAATGAAGAAAACCTGCATTTCTCTCAACAAGGGCATTTTGTTTTAAGTGCACTCAAAACATCTGAAATAAATAGACGGCCATCAGCAAATCAAGGCTCACCATTTAAATCTGCTGCGTCCACTGTATCTTTTTACAACCAAAATAAGCGGTACCTCAATCCATTGGAGAGGAAGCTGATAAAAGAGAGATCTACTTATCTAAAAAATAATGTTGAAGATAAATCTTTTCCCATTGTGACAGAAAAAATGCAGGGAAAACCAGTCTGCCCCAAGAAGAACAACAAAAAGCCGCAGAACAGTTTAACTGCGAAGTATCAACCAAGGTATAGACACATCAAGACTGTATCAAGGAATCCTAAAAATTCCAAGCAAAATCGAGTAGTCTGTAAGCTAGTTGTGGAGAAAGAGAATAATTGCTATTCAGCTGAAAATAATCCCAATGCTCCTCGGGTTCTAAGCCAAAAAATGAAAGCACAAGTTACACTCCAGGGTGGAGCAGCATTTTTTGTTAGTAGAAAAAAATCCTCTCTTAGAAAATGGTCCATGGAAAATGAGCCATCACTGGGACTCACCCAAAAGAATAAATCAGAATTGATTGAAGATTCTGATGTAGAGACTGTCAGGGAAAAAAAAACACTTGAGACAAGGCAAGTGCCAAAGTGCTTGTTCCTAGAAGAGAAATTGAACATTGAGCTACTGAATGCAAGCAGTAAAAATCAAGAGAAATTAATAAAGGACTCATCAGGTGACAGCGTTTCTCCAAAGGAATATGAAGTTGATAAAAATAAGTCTTTTCCTTCAGAGGATTCTCTTGGTGAGAAGGCAATTTCTCCTAAGTCCACTGTCTATCCAATCTTCAATGCATCTTCAGTCAATTCGAAAAGATCTTTAGGTGAAGAACAGTCTTCTGTGGGATCTGTCAACTTCTTGAAACAGACCAATATTCAGAAAAATACTAACACCAGAGATACGAGTAAAAAAACAAAAGACCAACTCGTCATTGACGCTGGTCAGAAACATTTTGGGGCTACTGTGTGTAAGTCTTGTGGCATGATATATACTGCTTCCAACCCTGAAGATGAAATGCAACATGTACAGCATCACCACAGATTTCTGGAAGGAATCAAATATGTGGGTTGGAAGAAAGAACATGTAGTAGCAGAGTTTTGGGATGGGAAAATCGTGTTGGTTCTACCACGTGATCCAAGCTTTGCTATCAAAAAGGTAGAAGATGTCCTAGAACTTGTTGATAATGAATTGGGCTTCCAGCAAGTTGTTCCTAAATGTCCAAACAAAATAAAATTTTTCTTTTTATATCTGATGAAAAGCAAGTAGTTGGGTGTTTAATTGCAGAACCCATCAAACAGGCCTTTCGTGTCCTGTCTGAACCAACTGGTATGCAATCCCCAAACTCTAAAGAATGTCCTAGGGCTTGGCAATGTTCAGATGTACCAGAACCTGCAGTCTGTGGGATAAGTAGAATCTGGGTTTTCAGATTGAAGAGAAGAAAGCGCATTGCAAGACAACTGGTTGATACTCTCAGGAATTGCTTCATGTTTGCCTGTTTTCTCAGCTCTGATGAAATAGCATTTTCTGACCCAACACCAGATGGCAAGTTATTTGCAACAAAGTACTGTAACACTCCTAATTTTCTTATATATAATTTTAATAGTTAAAGCTGATTTCAGTTATAAAGCAGTTACTATCTGGATAAGTTCAGAGAGATCTTTATTATAAAATACAAACTATTTAGTATCAAAAAAAATACCAAGACTCACACTTATGCACACACACACACATACACACATATCACAGTTTTGTTCCTTATGAGTTGAAAAGTCAGGAATTAAATTTGTTGAAAATTATCTGGGATTCAAAGGAAGGAAAAATCTTGGGGTGATTTACTGATTAGCACTCTGAATTGTTAATTACAATTACACTCTGAAATTTTGTAGCTATAATTGGAAAATTACTTGACTGTTATGTAAGAGCACTGACAAAGGAAAGTGATTATTGTCTAGAAATGTGACCTGGTCTTCTACAAAACACACTCTTAGACCAGGATTATCTAATGCCCCATCAGATGCAAAGAGGCAAATTTACACTTGGGCAAGTAATTTATATTCTCAATTTGTAAAGGGAATTCCTGAATTTTTTTTTTTTTTTAAATAGAGGCAGGGGTCTCATTATGTTTTCCAAGCTGGAACTTTTGGG